GTGTGTGTGTGTGTGTGTGCTGGTGTGTTGACGCTGATAACTGGACACTAATAAGCTCCAACTCCAGAGAGAATTCTAGAAGTCCCTCAAAACAACTTAGCTCATCTTCCCATGAGTACCCTGCTTCTTAAATATGCCCAGGAAATGTTATTCTGCATATATGCTACTGAACAACCAGGTTTATTTGAAGATTTAAGGTTTTTTAATCCAGTAAACTTTATTTATATATAACAACAGTACAAATTGTGTCCTTGGCTTGCAAAATAGGAGTGTTTCATATTTACAATAGGTACACAATAATATATTAGAATGACAAGAAAAAACCCAGTTTATTGGAACATTTTAAATATGTAATTTTCTTACAGTTTTTATTCCACAACACCTGTAAAAACAACAAAACTGGACAGCTATCATTCTATTTTCTTAAAAAAATATATAATACAGATTCCAGTGTGTCAAGAAGAGTGGGTTTGGGTAGGAGAAGTTGAGGGGAGAGGCAGGTGGGCTCAGGTCCTTAGTCTCGTGGTACAAAGAGCTTGTCCCTCCCTCCCTGACACACTTGGGAACATCTGCTCTGTAGGGGGAACTACGTTCCATTATGTTCTCCACCTGTAATGCCAACGCAGAGAGCACACGAGGCCTGAGTCAGGGCCTTGACTGAAATCCAGACGATGCCTCCCATCTCCTTGAGGTGAGGACAGGAGGCACGGGCTGCACTGCAGAAAGGATAGAGGGGAGAGTCCCTTTAGGGTGAGGGGAATGCGATGGGCATGTCCATGAAAGGCCCAGAATCTCCAGTTTGCTGACAGTGCTGAGGCCCTGTCCCCCAGGTTCTCCCTAATACCAAGGGTGAAACTTTATCTTTTATCCCTGGCATCACGGAGCCCCCCAGATGCTAAAACTTCATTCTTGGGGAAACCAGAAGAAAGGAAAGAGACAGGGAAGAGAGACTGGGGTGATGAAGAGGAGGCCGCCATCTTCTCAAAGTGTGTTCCTGAGACAAGGCACCAGAAGGCCCTGAACTTCACCTCCCAAGTCCCCCCAGAGGACCTGCTCCCACGGCCCTGTGTCCACTAAACTCCTCTGCATTTTCTCACCCACAGAGCCCCCATCACTGAGGCTCAGTTCTTTCCTGCCAGCGGCCAGGGCCCAGGAACCTCAGGCAGGACAGCGTGGCTGGGAACAGTGGCCTGCCCGAGGGCAGCTGCCCGCTCAGTATCTACTGGCTGAAGGTTAATGGGGGCAGTGTGGCAACTGGGATGCACCTGGACTGATCAGCCAGAGGCTTTCAAACACTCTCAATTTGTGCTGCCCAGACCATTGTAGTCCAGCTCACCCATCCGTCGCTTCTGCCTCATGCTCAGCGGGGCCAGGGGCCTCGACTGCTATTTCTTGTCCTCGTTTGGTAGAAATAAAGGGAGGCCAGGAGCTCAAGCAGCAGGGGAAGTGCCACCAGAAGAGACAGCGGCGGTGGGAACGAGAAAGGCTCTCATGGCTCTCGGGACTGTCCCCAGAACGAGGTAAGGCAGCTGGGTTGGTCGGCTTTCTTCCTTCTTTTGGCTCCCTTTTCTACAAAACTTGTGCCCTCTGCAGGTCTGGGAGGTGAGCTATGCGGGCTAAGTTGGTGGCAGGAACCAGCAGCCCGAAGAATGTCAGTTTGCTAGAAGAAGGCCCTTCTTGGTCTCGTTTGTTGCTGTTTCTTAGCACCTGGAGCAGGGCCTAGCAAACAGTGTTAGCGCAGGAATGTTCTCTGAATGAATGAATACAGGAAACAGCTCCCTCCCGCGAGTGAGGTTCCCAGTGGATCCGTGCTTCTAATGACTGAACTTTTCAAGGAGGGGGAACTCTCTGCCAGTAGTGGATCAGGAATGGTTCTGAGAGATGGGCTGTGGAGAGCTGTAGGAGGGCAAGCACAGAAGCACCTGAGCCCCTGCTGGGCGGTAGGCAGCAGCAGGCCAGCTGGAGGGACTCACTCCACCAAGATGGACAGCTTGTGCATCTCTGTCTTGTGTGTGAGCACCCTCTGTCTTGCCAAGCACATTTATGGGGTGCTTTTCCTTTCCCTTTTCCAGAAGATTGTCTCTTGTGCAGACCAGTGAAACAAAACGGAGCTGGATCAACCTTCGAGAGAGAAGTCCCTCTCTGCCTCCCTCCAAGATGGATGACTTCATGTGGGGGAGGGAACGTGACTTTAATACTTATCCCTTACACAAGGCCAAAATATCTTCACATTACATCGGATAACAGTGAGGACAGAGGGCAATTAACTCCCTCCCCTCCCATCCCACAGGGCATGCACTCTTGGTGACCCAAAGCCAAGCAAGGCTCTCCATCCTTTCACCCTCATGGCCTGACTTGAGTCCAGTCGAGTTTTCCTTTATCTTAATTCCTTCCTTAGGGACGCCCCTGTGCCACAACCTTTGCCAGCCCACATTCCCCAGCTCTCTCATGGAACCCTGAGAAATGTGGTCGAGCTTCTCAGGCCAGCTCTGGCGCCTCTCCTCTCCACTGTCCAAGCGGCCATGCCTCCATCATTCTCCCACTCCTCCAAAACCTTCAAGGAAGCATCCCCAAGGGTGGTGAATGGTCACCAAAAGTAGGTGCTGGGAGACACCCCGGTAGATGCCTACAGGTCACAGTTGAGATGTCTAACTTTTACTTCTTGGTGGGGCAAAGCCCAGGATGCCAGTCTGAGCAGTGGTGTGATCAGAAAACCTTCATTCAGAGCTCAGAAGTAAAATGAGCGTGGGCTGCACTTTTCTGTGGGCAGCACAGAGCCCCCTGCTCACGTTCCTCTTGCCGTTATCTCCTCGCCTTTCATCTCCATAAATCATGGGCTCTGAGCTGATAAGCTTTGGGTATATGAAGAGCAAACACTTTGGCTTAGTGCAGAAGGCCAGTCATTAGTATTTCTTTCAGGCTATTAATGGGGCCCAGAGAAACTTTAACAGAAGTGGATTATCAGAAGAAAGTGGCCTTCACATGGCTGGTTGTGAATTATAATGAAAACAGCGAGTTTCCTGAGTATTTTGCTGAATGCTTTTCTCCTCCCATTTGTCTGCTGCATTCAGGCAAGAAACTGGAGCTGAGGCGACCAGGCAATGTCTGCTGTGTGGTTAGCACAGTGATCCAAAGCCACACCCCAGCGATGGAAGCCAGCCCTCAGAGCTACCCCGCCCCCCTCACCGGCCCTTTCTTGGCAATCCAATGTGGTCAGCAGAGCTTTTGGAAATTGGAAGTGTTTGGAGGTAAATCAGGGCACAGAGAAGCCAGGGCCCAGAGTTAATTACAGAGGAAATGACCCTGGTCTGGTATCGCTGCGGGTGGCTGGTCCCGATTCCCAGCATCGCAGCCCCTTGTAAAGTAGAAGGTGGGAAGGGTAGGCTGGTCCTCTCCTGCTGCCGCCCTTCCCACCCCTTTGCCTTTCTCTTGTCCTCCTTCACACTCACTCCGATGCTGCCTGCGGAGAAGTTGGAGCTGGCTGCCTGGATTCTTGCCAGGGTGGGAGGCCCGGAAACTCTGGTGGCTGTCCGGTCACTAGGGTCCTGCACCAGCGGAGGTGCTTTCCTCTGGATGCCTCCCACTGCCTTCCATGGGGCCTCAGGACCAGGGTGTGGAACTTTGGTCTCTTTATTTGGAAACTACACTCAGGACGGATGGTCATCCTTAGATTTAGGTGTCAGCAGGAGACAGAGAAGCTGCCCACTTGTCCTTCAAACTCATAAGGACATGAGAGGCAGAAAGAGAGGCCGAAGAAGACATAACATGGGGATGCTACAGTCATCTCTACCGAGGCCAGTGCTCAGACGATCAGGAGCTTCCGCATACGAGCGAAGGGTTGTCTCCCCTCTCTAGGCATGAGAGAATAAAAGACAGAAAGCACAACAATAAATACCGCAGCTTCTCGAACCTATGCTCTTCAAGTATTTCTTGCTGTAAACAGTGTTTGATTTTTGTTTTCTTTTTAATTGCAAGAAACCACTGGCGGATTGGAGCAGAATCCAAAGCCAAACACCCATATCCCCAGGTCAGCTCCCAAACGGAATCTCCTGGAGGCCTGGCCCACGCGCCTCCAAGGCCTTTCCCCAGGGTGCCTGGTTTATGACAGTGACAGATGTAAGGCAGAGCTGCCCAGCATCCTCGGGGAGGCCAGGCCTCTGGTCTGGGAGAGGCCCACCTCTCCCCCACTTCTGGTAGTAACTTTAGGGAAACCCAAAGGAAAAGTACCGAAATCAGCTCCTCATTTGTTGAGGCTTGGGATTAAATAAAACAAAACCACCAAACAGTAGCAAAAAGCGTTGGTACTTTACAGACACATATGTCCTCTGGAGATGAGAATACACAGGTGTGCGTATGTAAAGCTGTTTCCAGTCAGCCAGGTGGAGCCACTCGATGGCTTTGCCATTTGTGCAAAGGCTAGTGAGTCCTTCCCCACCTCTTACGGCTGCCGGGATAATTTCAGGTTTCACTGGCCTCTCTTTTTGCGAAGTGTTTGGTGCCAACTCGTGTTCATTCTTCTCCTCCTCACTTTTTAAAAAAAACAATATTCCAGAGTTAAGGAAACAATCATTTTTCCCTCTGCTTTCTCTCAGCATCTCTCTGTAGGCTTTTTCCGGCATTGGGAACCAGGAGTTATACGAGGAAGGAGGGACAGGGGTAAAAGAAGGAAGGGGGACAGAAATCAGAATTAAACGAAAGTTGGACGGGATGAACAGGGAAGCTTTTTGTTTTGTTTTATTTCTGGTTTTCCTTTTTCTTAAAAAAAATTAAATAAAGTTCTCATCATTTCCCCAATATACACTGAATGAGTTTTCATGCAAAGCAGCAGTCGCAGAGGCGGAACGGCGCCCAGCCGTGCCTCTCAGCTTGAAGAGCCACCTCCTCTGGGTCCTGGCGTCCCTCTCGTCCTCGCCGCGGGGGGATGGGGTGGATGACACCCCTGGTCTCTCCCTGCAGGAACAGGCTGTGACGAAACTTGGCTGGCGTGGGGAGAGGGGTCCTCCCCTCTCCCCGGGAGGGGGTCTCAGGGGACAGCAAGCGCTGGGGCCTGATCCCCTTCACTTGTCCTTCCTTCTGAGATGCCCAGTGTGACAGCTTTCACGGGTCCCTCTTCCCAGGAACAGGAGGCTCCATCGCTCAGCTCTCAATGGACATGGCGTTTATGAGCTGTTCCACCTTGTATGCCAGCCGCTGTCGCCGGGCCTGCTCATCCTGCTGGAGTGCCCCAATGAGCTGAGGAACAAAAGCAAAGCCGGGGGCAGACTCAGCACTCAGCATGGAAGAGGCCATTTTCCAGAATCCTATATCCTTCTACCTGCCTTTCCATTCTGCCCTAATGAATATAACCTTAAATAATGTAAATGATTAATTGAATACATATGTCATTCATACATGTCTGTGAGTGTATGTACATATCTAAAGTATTTAAAACGACATTTAGCATATAGCAAGTGCTATGCGTTAGCTATTATTATTACTACGATTATGTTCGGGTACAATGCTAATGCATGACTTGTGAATTCTCTGGAGCTGTCCTCTTCAGGATCTAGTCATGTCCACCTGTCTGTCTGAAATGTAACTGACAGCATCTGCCCAACTGCAAAGAATAGTCTGATTCATCGTTTAAGAATGGATGAAATTAATCGTACACTTTGAACTGAAAAACAATTACATTATTATATAAAGGTGTTATGTATTGCATGAACAATGAGGGTAAGACAATGGAAGGTGTAAGAAAGCACTGAATGAATCAGGAGAGGATAGGCTGCCTTCTAAAAGCATGGTGATGACTTTTTGACTCCGTGAATGTGTTTTCTGAATTACCCTCCGTTGCTGTTATTAAAGGATGGAGCCCTGCTTTTTAACCTGCTTTGACCCCTGAGTGTGTCCTTCCCAGGGCCCTGACTCACCTCTTCGCTGTACTTGCTGACGTAGGAGTAGATCTCATTGAGGGCACTCAGCATGTTGAACTCCACGGCGTGCAGGCGGGATTGCTCGGCGAGGTAGGCGTTCATGTCCTGGTCACTGATGGCGGGGAGCTTGGCGATGTCTGCGTAGTATCTGCCATACAGAGGACAGGCTCCTTGGTGGGGACTCAGCAAACACTGCCTATACCTACCCTGGCCCCAGAAGCCTTGAGACCACAGTTGTCCCAACTGCTCCTGCTTCCCTACTTCTCTTCTGACGAAGCTTCCTCTGGCCTCTTCCCTCAAGCTGAGGTTGGGGCCTGGAGGCTGGTTTTCCCTAAGGTTGGGGCCTGGAGACTGGTTCTCCCTAACTACTAACTTTCCAGGGTAGTTAAAAGCCCAGACTCTGACCAGACTCCTTGTATTCAAATTCCAGCTCTGCTACCTGCTAGCTGTGTGACCTTGGGCAAGTTATTTTGCCTCTCTGTGCTTCAGTTTCCTCCTCAGTAAAATGGGGATGATAATAATACCTACTTTACAACTCTGCTGGATATTTTAGTGAGGTGATACATACAACATCTTTATCACAGTGCTGGGTGCTTAGCATGTGCTCAATAAATGGTAATTAGAATGCTAATGATCTGACTTGAAGGGTACAAAGCTTCCCTTTCTTCCCCCAGCAGTAACTTTGGACAAGAGACAGGTGAGCGTAAGGCCCCAAAGGCACCACAAGCGTGGTTTTGAGTCCTCGGTCAGTGAAGCCCAGAGGAGGGAATGCAGCAGGCATTCAGGGCCACGGGCCTGTCCTGAGGGTGCTACTGACCTTTCCACCCAGCTCTTGTAGCTGGGGATGTCCTTGGCATAGAGCAGCTTGTTGGAAGGGGAGTCCTTGCCCAGCCGGTGCTCTGATGTTGAGCAAGAGTCCATGAAGGTCTGGGCCACCACAGAGAGGCAGGCGTCCGTGATGCTGCCCTTGTGGATGTCAAAGACAAACTGGGGGTTCTTGATCACGTTCACCCAGAAGCGCAGAGGGAGGCTGTAGGAAACAGCAGAGCAGAGTCTCAGGGCTGTACCTTGGCTGTGCCCCATGCTGTTCACTAACATTCCTCCCTCCCCCACAAATGCCAAATTCTCTCTCGAAGGGCCAGAGAATGAAGTCACAGGAAACTGGTCCAGCCAGGGCTGCCAATTTAGGCTAAGCTGTTACTGATGCTGGGAGAAAAGGAGAGGCACTATTGCGTCCTAATGGGGTGCTGACCCTGTTCTCTAACAACTGAGAGGTGGGCGTGGGTGGCTTCGTTCCCTCCTGGAGGTCTTTTCCAAAGGCCTCTGTGTCCCCAGGGAAGCCCAAGTACAGAGGGCTGCACAGTTTTCTCAGAGCTTCAAACAAAGCCCCCGGGCTCCCAGAGTCCCTTCCCGATGCCTGTGGCCATTATCCAGAAGGATGCAGCGACAGCCCCAGCACGGGCTCCGAGTGGGCACAAAGGGCGCCACCTGTGCTCCCCACCCAGCCCGGCTGCCCAGCGGCTTCCCAGGGCTGGCCCGGCCTGGCTGGGATGAGGAATGGGCTCCCCTGGGGGCAGCTCTTTCACGACTCTCCCCGGGGCCTTCTCGGATCTGGTCAGGGGCAGAGGAAGGAGAGGAGGCCGTTGTTGGCACGCTGGGAATGCCTCACTAGGACTCCGAGTTTGTCCCACCCCAAGAGGAGCTGATCAGTGGTTGGGAGAGTTCTTTCTGCAACTTGGGAATTTATAATCGGAGGAGAATGCTTTTCCGCTGCTCCTTAGGCCGTGAGGAGGATAAGCCCACTCGCTCCCCTTCAAAACCAGAACAGCTGCTGTTTCTGCCGCCTTTTCCAGCTTGGCCCTCTCCTCCAGCTGCCTGCAGGCCCTTAACTTGGATCCTCTGTGGAATGAGCCCTGTCCCCGGCTTGTCCTCTGGGCCCGAGATGTTTCAGCCATCCAACCTACCTCCCCCATCTCCTTCATTTTCTCTCGATTCTCCTGGACCCCAAACTTTCCCAAATGTCTCAGTTCATGCCAAGTCTTGGGAAAGATCAGCTGTGCCCACTGCGAGTCCTCCCATTATGATTTCTGCTTATCTTTCCAAATGCAACGGGATCACTCACTTTCATTAACCTGGAGGGAGTGGCCTGGGCTGAGAGGTGACTCCTCTCTTCTACCTCCTCTTCCCCCCGCAGCTTTAGCAAGCTTCTAATAATCTTTCCTGGGACACTAGGGACCTGAGGTCTGGCTAAGGGGACTCTCCCCACCACAACTCCAGAGTCTGCTCTCCACGGCAGAGCATTTGTATGACTTGGGCCTGGCCAGAAACAGAGGGCACAGAGATGGCGATAACCCAGAACTTTCTCTTGATTCCCTTGAAATTGCCACTCCCAGCGCTGGACTGAGGATCCGCCTAAGCGAAGGGAACAGCCATGTCCCTGGCCCTGGGAATGCAGATGAATGCAAGGCCTGTCCCAGTGACGTGCACTGGAGGCTCCTCACCCCACGACCACCACAGCCTCTTCACTTCGCTCCACTGTGATCAAAGCTGCAGATTTTGGAGCGCTTGGCAACCACAACACCCCGGAAAAGAAGCAATATATGGGGTTTGGGGTTGGGTTTTTCCGAAGTGTTTTGCTGGTTGCTAGGACTTTGGATTCCCAAATAACAGCCGGGGCCCATCTGTGCCGGCTCTGTTTTCCGAGGAGATGGCTGACTCCAGACAGCTGTGTGGGCTGCCTGCCCAACCCAAATGCCTGGACCCCCTCTCTCCCCTCCCTGTGCTCTCTTCCTGAAGGAAGGCGTTTACTCCAGCTCTGGGCCAGGCCCTTCGTGACCTGAAAGTCAGTCTTCAGCGTGGTCTGTGGTCCAGGTTCAAAACCCAGGAGAGAAAAGTCTTGCGTGAAGAGCCCGCAGGAGCTGTTTCTCCCACTGCTGGGTTTGGCTGCGGAGATTACCTTAGGGGAGCCAGTCACGCCTGCAGGACGTCCTGCCTGCTGCTTCCTGAAAGCCATGGCGCCGGGGTAATCACTTGGCCTTAAGGGATCACGTTTGCAATGACAACCTCGTAGTTGGTGGGCTCAAGTCTACAGCAGGTGCAAGCTCTCTCCCAGCACTGGCCAACTTCCCCAGGGTCTAAGTTTAATTCAGGGCTTCCCCATTTCAGGAAGCGCCTTAGGTTCTGCTGTGCTCAGAATGCCCCACAACACCTGTCTGTGAAGCTCTGCTGCTAGGTCTCAGACGTGGCTCTTTGTGTAGGTTCCTCCAGCTCCCTTTCCTAAGAACCAGAAGTTAGGGAGGACGAGGCACGTCCCGGAGAAGGCTCTGAGTCTGGAAGGGCAGAGCTCTGTCCTGGTGCCAGGCTCTATGCCCGGCAGGGCCCACTTGGTGCCTGGGGACCACATCTGCTCTGCAGAGCATGTTTGTCCCAGGAGCCTTGGATTACTCAGCCACAGCAGAGAACAGGCTCCGCCCATCTCCCTGGTCCCTGCTAGTTCTCACGCCCCGCAGCTTGCAGCCTCGCCAGGCTGCAGCTCTCCCTGGGCTCCCCGGGGGGTTACCAGTTGCTCTTCCAGGTGTGCCGCACATCTGTGTCGTGGATGCTGTGTCTGTCTGCCTGCTCATCCAGGAAATCAAACATGTACTTGATGGCCAGGGGGAGAGCGCTGCCCCGGTGCACGGTGCTGAATAAGGTCTCAAACAAGTCGTCCACGAACTTCTGCAGGGTGCCCTGGCGGAGGGGTGGTGGGAAAGTATGAGGTGGGGGAGGGGGACGGGCAGCAGGCGGGCAGACCAGATGGTGCCTTGGACCGATCCTGCCTTGGAAATCTGTCTGCAACGCCAGGCTGTGCAGAGAGTGTGGTGGGAGTGGGGGTGGGGGTGGGTGTTAGGGAGGTGGGAGGGACTGAATGGGCTGCAGATTCCTGGCAAGAACCTCCTCCAACCTGCGGCCACACGCTACATTTCTGCTTGTGTCCATGGCAGGCGGGTGTGGGTGTGGGGAGTCTGACTGAAGACAGCAAATGCTCTGAGCCCAGGCTTCCAACGGGGAATGAAGGGCACAGGCTGGGACGAGAGGGTGTCTAAAGAACAAAATGGAGGGCTGGACCTTTCCAGCGGGAGCAGGGCAGGACTGCAGAGGGTCTCACAGGAAGGTGTGAAGGGCTCACCATGTTAGTGGCCTGGGATAAGCAGTGTCTGGAGTGGGGACTGGGTGAAGGGTCCAGATCCAAGAACACTGAGACACAGCCCTGATCACAGGGCCTTGGAGGGTACCTGGGGCAGGGACAAGGCTGGGCCTGGGGCCCACAGTTTGCTCGTTCAAAAATCACCTCTGAAGGTCAGGAAAATGTCCAACATTTTGGTGTCTCTTTGTTGGTCTCTTATTAGCATATTAGGCAAAGCAAAATTTGAGACGCATGGTCTGATGGTGTATTTCTGAGGCACTTCAGGGAGCAAATCTGAGATGCAACTGTATTAGAATTTCAGCCACATTTCTGTGGGGTCAGTGGGGGACAGTCCTGGCAAATACGGGCTGGATGATTGCTATGCATATATGGGCAAACTTTTCTCTCCTAGGGAGGCTAGAACACAGCTTTACATTATAGCTTCCAGCACTGCCGCTGCCTCGCTTCCATTAGCATCTGGGGGTAGATGAGATGGGACGGGGAAGGGGAAGCCTTCTCTTGGATACCAGAAGGGCCAGGCCTTCATGCTTTTCCTCCCATTGTGGCCAGAAAGTGGGTAGAAAAGGCACTGATGGAGGAAGCTGGCATATCTGTCCATCTAATACCAATAAAAAACCCCAGTGATTTCCTAAGGGGTGTAGGGGCCCGAGGTGAGAGCGTCGATCCTCTAAGGAATAATGGCAGTCCTATAGGGTGAGCTAGGAGGAAAGATGTCATTGTGATTTTTGCCAAAGGGTAGAGAACAGCAGTGGCCTGATCTCCTGGGAAGCCTGCCCCAGACCTGGACCTGCTTGTCCAAATGCGTTACCTTGAAGGACAGACTCCATGCTGTCCTTTCTATGCTGTGGGCTGGGTCGGGGGTAGGACACACCTCTCTGAGGGGGCTTCCCTGGGCTGGGCAGGGCAGGAATTACCTTGGTGGCCAATAGCCGGGTCAGGTAGATCTCGGACACCATTTTGCTGCCCCGGTCACCCTCCTTCTGGTCCCCATGGTCGTGGTTCTTCACCAGGTGCCACACCTTGACCCCACTCTCCAGGTCTGGGGTGATCATGGGGGCCCGAGACCGCAGGCTGTCAGGACTGCCTGTGTACCTGAAGGAGGAGTCTGAGGAGAAGGGGGCAGCGGAGGCCTGTGAGCGACTAATTGCATCATCCTGGCTTGTAGAATCCTTCTAGAATCCCTGCCCACCTGCTGCACTCACTCAGAATAAACCAGTTTCAATCGGAAGGGAACCCTTGGGGTTTCATATTTGGTGGGTTATTTTATCGATCCTTGGTTGGCATGAGAACAGCCTGAAATATTTTTGTAAAAAGAGGACCTAGAAATTCTGTGGGCTGGAGTGGCCCTTGGGAATTTGGGAGTCCCTCATTCCCGGATGCTTCCAGCAAAGAACAATCAATAGGTAAAATGTCAACCAGATATTCTCATAGGGGCTTTAATAAAAGTCTGGATACTAAGGGCTGTGAGTGGAACTGCTCCCTCTCGGGAGCTGATGAGTTCCTTCTTACTTGGGGCCCAGAATATAGAATTGTCTGAGCCCCTTTTGCAGCTGCCAGCTTCAGTCCTGAGGTGTCCTTTAGCTGGACAGCCCAAAGCCTAGTGCTATACAGAACCAGAGGAAACAGAGTCAGAGAGAGTGAAACACCACAACCTCATTGTCCAGAGGGCACTGGGGGCCCTAGCACTCCTCAGGGGTGGAAGGGCTAGGATGGCCAATTGATTGCCCAAATTGGGACATGACTGAGAGCTAAAGGGGGCACTGTTAATAATTCAGTCAGGATGATAAGCATAAACTGGGACTGGGTTATGTGAACCCCCCATCCAAGAGCCTCCCTGGGTGTGGGCCCTTCAAACTCCTTCATCAGACCTGGGCTATCAAAGGAAAGGTGCCGGGTACCACCTGCTGCCACAGCTCTGAGGAGACAGCCTGCTCCGAGGATGACTGGTCCAGGGGGAAAGGGAAGCCTTTGACTGCAGGCTGGCAGCAGCACGGGGCTCCTGCTGTCAGCAGGGACGGTGAGTAGCCCCTGGGGGTCACAGAAGACTCCACTGGCTGCCCAGGCTACCTTTCTGGTCCTCACCGTATCTGCTGATGGACGTCCGGGAGATACTGGCAGAGGCAGGGATGTTGTAGGAGGAGGTCTGTTTGGGGACCAGAGCCACCACCGATCTGTCTGATACCTGGGAAGGGTATGAGAGATACAGTTCAGGTGAATGTTGGTATCTTGGGGAATAAAATTGTCAAGTACTTCTAGGAATTTATGGAATGGGTTTAGGTAGAGCATAAGGAGATCAGCAATGCTAGAAATAACAATTCCTGCTTTTCAATCTTGTAGCTACTTGCCACCTGTGGCTATTGGGCTCTTGCAATCCAATCAGTCCAAAGGGAGATGCCCTGTAAGTGTCTGAGCTCAGGTATGCTATAAATGTACAATACACACTGGATTTCAATGACTTAGGATGAATAAAAGTATACAAACTGTCTCATTAATAATGTTTATATTGATTACATAGTCAAATGACAATTAGTTTAGATCAGTTGTGTTAAATAAAACATTAACATTACATTCGTCTGCTTATTTTTACTTTTTAAATGTGACTAGTAAAAAATGTAAAGTTATACGTGTGGCTTGCATTGTATTTCTATTAGAGGGAGCTAGTGTAGCCCAGCCTGCCTTGAGCTCTGTGAGTTACATACAACTATTCCCATTTTAGAGATGAGGAACTGAAGCATTGAGAAGCTAAACAACACCTTCAAGTTTGCACACCTAACACGTGATAGAGCCAAAATTTGTCGCCCGGACTGTCAGGCTCCAGAGCACATGTTCTCCTCATTGCATCCTAATTTGGGATTTTATTTCAAGACACACTGGTCTGAAGCCCATTTTTCCTTTTGGTTCTGATTTCTTTCCGGCCTGGGTCCTATAATGGCCCAGTCACCTTGAGGAGCTTCACCACAAGGCAGCTGCTCTTGGGGAGTCAGCAAGAAAGAAGGCGTCTTGCCTGTTCCCTGTGAGGGTGCCCAGGCTCAGCACCCAGCCTGCAGGGAAAGGGCTGATAAATGAGGAGCCATATTGAAGACATTTGGGGCCATTTTCATTTAAGGTTACCCTCCATCCAATAAAAACAGAGAATCCCCAGAATTGTGGCGATCCAATTAAACTCCTAATGCAGAGGGAATAAAACAGCCATAATAATGTTATGAGCCATAAAACATTCCTATTAAACCATTTTTTACTTTAACAAGTTTTATGAACTTTATAAGTTTGATTTATGGCTGCACCAGTCGTAAAACCATCTTTCTGGGTCTTAAATTGTCAGTCCCTCTCCCCCACCAAAAAAAAAAAAATTAAATGTTGGGAAGTCAAACTATAAGTGAACATTAGCACTAACGAGATGCCCTGATAGCCAGTTTTAGTAGTGGTGTTTAATTTCACCCTCCCTATAAATCTGTGGGAAGCGGGAAGTTTTAAAAAATCTCTTTGTTAATTAAGATTATGCAGATTTTTCTCCTGTAGGGGCTCCAAGGACCTTTGACTCCTGGGAGGGTAACAAGAGGTCGGTGCTTTGACCTGATGGCATAAAGCTGCAGGGTCCAGGGCTCTTCACAGTTGTCTGGAAGATGCCAATGCGTAGTTACTTCCCAGTTGGGGTGGCTCCCCAGACTGCAGGCAGCTTGTATCATCAGCACTAGGTCTGAAAAGGAGGGGGGCTTCCCTGGTGGCGCAGTGGTTGAGGGTCCGCCTGCCGATGCAGGGGACACGGGTTCGTGCCCCGGTCCGGAAAGATCCTACATGCCGCAGAGCAGCTGGGCCCGTGAGCCATGCGTGTCTGGAGCCTCCTGTGCTCCGCAATGGGAGAGGCCACAGCAGTGAGAGGCCCGCGTACCACAAAAAAAAAAAAGGAGGGGGAACTCTCCACCTCGGACTTTGCAATTGAAATGATACACGAAAGCCTGGCAGGAGCAAGGGTTTATTCTCCCAGGGAGAACAGATTATGTTATCATTTATGGCTTGTTGTCACCTAAAGGGAGATTCACAAGGTGACTGGAATGACCACAGTTCAACTGAATTCCAGGTCTCATCACTAAATCTCCCTTGTCCTTAGTCTCCTGTCTTTCTCTTGACCAACAGGTGATGCAAACCCGTGGGCAAGATGCCTGGCTGGGTCTGACCTTGCCTCTGCACTTTGTAGCTACATGACTTCGGGAAAGTCACTTAACCTCTCTGCGCCTCAGTTGTCTCATGTGTCAAAGGGGATAATAATCGAGTCTAGGTCTGTTGTGAGGATTAACGGCGTTAGGACACGTAGAGGCTGGGAGCAGTGGTGCCTGGCGCCCAGTAACTGCTCGTATTACTGTTGCTATTATGAACATCATCATCATCATTGTCTCCCAAAGGGAAGAATAATCCCTCTTGTCCCCTGTCACTCAGGGCTAGCGTGTGGGAAGAGCCTTGCACAAAGTAAAGCTCGGTAAATATTTGAGGAATGAATGAATACATGAGTGATAAATGACATCGGGGAATTCAAAGTGCTTTGTAAGATGAGCACTGTTAGAACAGAATATTCCATTCTTCTGATTGGGAGTCATAGGACAGACAGACCAGTAACAAGCATTAGAGCACCAAAGACAGAGGAGAGCGGGCCCCATTCCTGCCCTGGAGAAACTTACAATTTGGGGGCGTAATGTTCATTTCTTTTGCACTTTCTGCTTTGGTTCTAATTGGTTCATTAAAACTGTTCTACTACGCCGGGTGTGAAGTGGGGTTGGGGGCTGGGGTGGAATCAACAGAGTGATTGTAGCTACTATGGAGTGGTATATACATCCTGGTATACCTCACCTGTGGTTTCTCATACTTCCAGCCACCTTCACAATTTGGGGTCATATCTCCATTTACTGATGAGGAGCCCAAGGTTTAGGGAGATTAAAGTCACATCACCAGTGAGTGGGGAAGCAGGGGTTTAAATAGAACTCACAAATCCTTTTCTCTGCCCACTATACCACACTTACTCCATTTAGGGAGGGGGTCCAGGCAGAGTGTCAGCATGAGAAATGCAGGCCAGTAAGGGGGATGGAGCCTGGAAGGGAGCATTTTGGGGTTTCCCCAGTGCCCCTCTCTTTCCTCTGTGCCCCAAGAGGCTCCCAGGCAGGTCCTGCTGGCTGTTAGGAACCCCAGCCTCCTGGTCGTTGGCAACTCAGTGCTTAAGAACCCAGCCCCTCCGCACTCTCCCCGTGTGAGGCAGGGACAGAGGATGATGTTATTAACCAGGCAATCCCACAGGGTCCTGCTGCCCAAGGCACTTCCTCTGGTTGGTTTAATTTCCCTCACTGTCTCTCATCTCCAGCTTCTATTTTAGTATGTTTTTCGAATCCCAACTACCCGTGCCGTGCTTAATCTTACAGAGACCCCCAGCTGTGAGTGGTTACCATGAGAAGCAAGCGGGGGGGG